CGGCTTTGGTGGTGGCTTCAGTGGCGGTTACAGTGGAGGCTTCAAAGGTAAACAGGTATGAACATCAGTAAAAGTTCTACTCTTTTCTAAATCTTGCGATGCGATCTTTCTGCCTGAATCGTTCCTTCTCTATCGATGTATTACTATGACCGCTCAACCTCAGCGGAACAAACACACACTGTGGCACCAATTGTTCATTTCAGCAGCCGTAAGTAACTCAATTTCCTCCTTTATTTTCTAGATGATGGTACAAGGCGGCATCGTACAAGGCGGAGCATCCGCTTGTCTGAGCTCATGTAAAACCGGTTGCCTGGGTTCCTGCGCTTCGTCCACTGTAGTTGGCTGCCGTGCAAGTTGCGATCAGGCATGCTACAAATCTTGCCAATTACCAGTAATATACTCTGTAAGTCTTTCATACTTTACTTTGTGAGTCTAGGATTCACGCACCCTTCATGTTTTGAAGATTATCTACCATTCCAGGTTCCGTGCTCCAGCGGTTACTCACCTTGTGGGGGAGGTGCCTGTTGCAAACTTTGAGCCATAAGAAGTCTAAGTCTCAAATCCAAGACCACTGCCATTGATATGCTGTGTACGTAACGCTTGCTGCTTCTCAAAGGGGCTCCTTTGTGTACGTTGTTGCAATAAATATTTTATTGGTACCAACATGTTTGTTACATCCTAACGAACAATGTCACATCCTTGTGGCATAAACTGCTGGTAAAGGCACTTCTGAAGCTGCAATACACATCGTTAGTTTAATTTGACAACAAACAAAAATTTCTAGTTGGAACAAATTGGTAAGATGGTAATTTTTTTCGAGATCAGACCATAACTCATGCTGTGTTTTTTTGGCGCACTTCGATGCATGTGAAATGAATAAATAAATATTTGGACGTTCAAAATCGTCCCAAGAAGATGCTAACTGGAAAAAGGTGATATGATTCGCAACTATTCTCCATGATTTTGTTGCAGATCTTCTGGGCTCTCCTTATTTTGATTTATAGCCCTCTTTCCTTACTGAAAGGTCCTAAGAAGGTGTATTAACAAAACCGTCTAGGGGAGGTATGAACAGTGTCCTAGATGTTAATCATATCAGAAGTAAAATGCCTGCTTGAACATATTATATTTTAGACCATATCCGAACGGGATTTTCACTGCAAGAGGAACGTTTGCTGTTCTGTGCACGTCTCAGGCCCTGCGCATATCTCACGCCATTTTAGTCCCAACACGAGTGGCTACGCTCCAATTGTATAACTCATCGTAAGGGTTTTCTTAATGTAGGGAAGATAAGGCATTTCAGCAACAGAAAGTCATACATGCTATGCATTTGGGGTATTGAATTATGCCAGTATTGAATTTGAAGACATGTGGCAGATTGTCAGATTGTGTGGCGACGGCCTAAAGGAAAGTACGAAATGTATACAGGCAAATACATTGTAAAGAAAGCGTTCGCATAACCTCGCTTTACGAACCGAAGGGTATATAGAATGGCAGAGAGCATCGAAAGACTTTCTGCCGTCCAAAAATAATAGGAGAAAACTCAACACGATAAAGGTCTCATTTAAGATGTCGAAATGAGAAAACTGAATTGCTCTCTTCTTATAAAAACTCACTGTAGCGTGGGTGCTTTAAAACCTACGCTCTGTTTACCTACGACAAAGTAAGATTATTCATTTCGAAAAAGCTATACTCTGTTACGGAAGTGACAAAACCTTCCACTTGTTCTTTTCGCTTTAGTGGTGAGTAATACAAAGCTTGGTGAGCTTTGTACAAAAATCCAGCGATTGCAAAAGTTTTGATCTCTTTGTAAAGGCTACTTTAAAATTTTGAAATAGTTTCAGGTTGAAATTACAATCTATTCCTCACATTTCATTTTCTAACCTTTGTTCAGAATGTCAGACGCTTACTTTTATTGAATAGTAATACATACAAAGCCACTTCAGCCGCATATTGCTCTTCAAAACAACCACAAGGCTGTTCAGCGCTCTTCCACTGTCTGCTGAGTGTTCACAGTTTGGCAGCCCAACTTCCAATGTTCTGAACGTCTCCAGTTGACTGTTGCAAACTTCTCCTCAACTTGGCTAGGGCGTATCTGCTGTTTGGTCACATTTCGACTCTTTGGTGAAGTGAGATTTTGATAGCTTGACCATGACTTCTGACGGTCACGGATCATAAAAATTTGAACAGCTTGAAAACACAACAGATGCATTTTGATGTCAACGCGGTCTCGCATTCAACGAAGGGGAAGATTAGACGAGAGTGGATTATATGCAAGAGGGAAACGATAGACTTCGCACTCTGCGGTGGAAATGGCGTGACATTGTTCTTATCGCTCTCTGCTGAGTGTACCGGCAAATAGTTGCTAAAATAACAATAAACAATAAAGATTCAGACCGTGTCAATCATATGAGGTGATTTCTATACTAATCGTTACGACTCATCATCCAGCTCTTCAATTCTGTGCTTTGAAGTCTGACAATCCACTCAAACATGATTGATTTCCTTCTTTCTGAGATGTAGATATCAAAATCCTCAAACTGAAAGCATAAAATATTGGGAATTATCACTAGAGGAACTTTTTGAGTACAGTTATTTGAATAAGTTGCGCCAGCCCTCATTCATCTATGTTCTTGATTCCACTGCATATATGTTTATCCATGTAATTCCCTTATCATGAGGTCAATATCGTTCTTCGCAAGGTCTCACGAAACTTTCTGAGACGTATTCATGCAGGAATGTTCTCACGCGGATCTCAAGCCAGCTAAAAGACAGCTACAGCCCGAAGTTTGCCTTAATCCACCAAAAACAAGACGTCTTCGGCCTAGAGGGTACTTAGAAGGGCTAAGACTCTCTGAAACCAGTTCGGTACAATTGTGCACAACAGCATCGCCCTTCTCGGTCACATTTGCTCAGCGATCGCGACAGCGATGCTGCTGTTATCTCTCTGCAGCACACTCCCACAGCCTATCGGGGTCTTGGCACACTTCTGCTGTCTACTCTCTACTGTTCTCATACATATTTGCTTTGAAGTTCATGTCGTACAGTTCGGATCACCGGCATTAGTGGAAAAAATTGATTGAAGAAGTGGGTGCTGGAATGGTCATTCCACAGGTGTTAATCATTTGTCGATATGGTCTACTCCTACGGTTTTGCTCCTAACAGCTTTCCTTGCGCCAAATAGATCTATGTCATCAGCTATATATGTATCAACTTTTTTATTTCTAAGGATACAAACAATTTCTATACACATCATGAGCGCTGTTTCTTTAAGCTTCATTGCGATTGTTGACAAGCAAAATTCATCAGTTATAATTTAGGGTAATAATGTCCTTGAGGGTACAGGACGTATATTCGGACCGGAGCATTTTGCTAACTGGATCAACGGGATTCTTGGGAAAGGTACCTATGATAACATTTAAATACTGTGTTATGGCATTCAAGTTTATTTACTTTAGAACTTTCAATTTTGTTCAATTTTCATAATTGCACATGAAAAGGCTTGTGAATTTTATTTGAAAATTGAAATCTAATCATAAGACAAATTTATTTTCTGATACTTCTTGTTTGCAGGTGTTAGTTGAGAAAATTCTTTGGGCTGTGCCAAATGTTCGCCAAGTCTTCCTTCTGATTCGCCCTGCGAAAGGACTGTCACCCAGGGAGAGGCTAGAAAAAGTCTTGAAAGTAAAGCAGCCCAGTATATTAAATAGGTATTCAAATGACTGACTTTTTTTAGGATCCATTATTTGACCGGATTCGTGAAAATAAACCACATGTGCTCAATAAACTTGTGCCTATATCCGGAGATATTATGGAGGATAACCTTGGCCTCAACCAACATGATATGCAAAGCATTTGCGATGAGGTTCACTACTTCCTTTTGCTGAGTTTTCTTTTTTAAAAAGTCTATAAATCCGTGCTTTTGAAAGAAGAGCTTCCTTGTTACTCGTAGACACCACTAAAATGTTTCGCTGCTCAAGTAGATTTTGAGGAGCTGTTTGAATGAAGAATTTCAGGTTAGCATTGTTATCCACAGCGCTGCTACGGTAAAATTTGACGAGAAACTCAGGGATGCGGTTGAGATGAACATGGTAG